AAAAAAAAAAAAAAGAAAGAAAATGGGGACAACAGTGGCCCCCACATAGGGTTACTGTGAGAGAACATGTGCGAAGTCCTTAGTGCAAGGCCCCACACTTGGGAAATGCTCAATTAACAGGCAAATCATAAGGACAACAGTCACGTTACTGCCTCCTGGAAGCAGTGCCTTCAGCATAAAAAGAGCTGTCTAAGAAGTTTTGGGCCTTGGCCGGGCACGGTGGCTCACGCCTGTAATCCCAGAGCTTTGGGAGGATGAGGCAGGCAGATTGCCTGAGGTCAGGAGTTAGGGACCAGCCTGGCCACCATGGTGAAACCCCATCTCTACTAAAAATACAAAAATTAGCTGGGCATGGTGGCATGTACCTGTAATCTCAGCTACTTGGGAGACTGAGGCAGGAGAATCACTTGAACCCAGGAGGGGGAGGCTGCAGTGAGTCAAGATTGCACCACTGTACTCCAGCCTGGGTGACAAGAGCATGACTTCATCTTAAAAAAATAATAATAATAAAGTTCTGGGCCTCCCAGGATCTCACACGGGGTCTGTGAATAAGATAGAGGTCTCTCAGAACCCTGACAGCAGCAGCCCAGGCTCCAGGCCCATCCACATCAAGGAGGACTTGGAGTCTCCCTTCCAACGAACTCCCCCAATACAGTCAAATGAAAGATAGCACAATTACGTACACAATGCACAAGATGAAAAAAAGATTCACAGAGAAATATATTAAAATATAAACAGTGGTTTCTTCATGCTGTAAAACTGTAGCTGGCTTTATTTCTTTACATCTTCTGTAGGTTTTTTTTTTTTCACAAGACAGCAGACATTACTTTAGAGATTTTAAAAAGTCATCTCAAAAAAGTGTTTGAATATGTTCAAACATACTATATAATGTTAAAATTTTTGAAAATCAACTTCACAGATTTTGTAAATAAAATTGCTCCCCTGGCACCCAGCAAGGTAGCCAGCTGGCATCCTTCGGTCAGTGGGAGCTCAGGCATCCTTTTCTAACTCTGGTTCCAATCTCTCAGGCTGCAAATCCCCAGCCTTCTGCCCACAGGGTAGAAAGCCCTGTGTTTCAAAGTTCATATCATTTCAAATTGATAAACTGCATCACCATCAAAGGAAGTCCAAGCTAACACATCCTTCGTGAAATTCCCCCACAGTAGCAGGTTTAAGGAGAAAGCCCCTCTGCCAACACCAGGAAGCAGGGTGAAGCAGTCTGTAGGAAACAGACAAGAAACAGACCATTGGGGAAATTCATTTATAGAAACCTCAAGAGAGCACAAGTATTGGTTATTTGCAGTTCTTCCTCTGTTTCAACATTTTATTACAAACATTTTCAAGCAAGCGGAAACGTTGAAATAATTATAGAGAGAATACCCATACACTCACCATCCCAATTCTATAATTAACGTTTCGCTATCCATTCCTCAATCAATCCAACAAGCCATCCTATTCTTGATGCACTTCAAAGTTGCAGGCAGCAACCTCACCCCAAACACTTCAGCCTCCACATCATTAACTAGAGTTCATTATTTATTTGCTTAGGCTTATTTTTTTCCAGGTAAAATTCACAAACAGTGAGACACAAAAAGTGTACATCCACCATTCAATAAGTTTTGACAAATGATCTATGTAATACAAACCCAAATGAAAATGTAGAATATTTCCAACACCCCCAAAAAGTTCCTGCATGTCTCCTCCCTTCCATCTTCTCTGTAATGGCTGTGAAATGCATGTGTGTGCATGTGTGTGGGTGGGGGATGGTGGGGGGGTGGGGGTGGGGATGAGATTACTGGACTGCTGGCATTTCTGTGCTTAACAAGCAGCAAAGTTAACAGGGAGCTCCCATCACTATGAAATTGAAAGCATCGAGTAATTCAGAGGCATCAGCATTTCTTTCTGTCTAATGATTTTTATACACAACTTAGGTACCTTATGCTCTCAAGGTAGAAAATACAGTTTCGGGCAAACTGCATTCCTTTGCTGGCACATATGAAGCTGGGGGGGGCCACCTAGCAGCAAAGCCTAAATACAACAGGGTTCAGCTGTTAGACTCATCTTTAAAGCTCTTTTAAGCAGGCTCATCACTCTGGGAAGCAGTGGTGTGCATGGCTGCTGCTAGGGGCCCGTGGGCAGTGGCCACTGGAGCAGGCTGGGCCAGGTGGGGCCTCTAGTATTAGGGATGGGGCAAATGTGGAAGTGATGGTGGTAGTGCATCCACCACTTGGCACAGCACCTACCATGCTGTGGTGAGTTGCTGGTTACCTGGGCATTTGCCTGCCTCTCCTAGTGAATTGAAAGTGCCTTCAGAGTAGGGGCCATGTCTTCATTGTGGCCTCCATAAGTGCTCAAGGAAACAAGTGTGAGTTGAATCACATTTCACGTAGCTCCCTGCACAGTCCTTTCCTCTTCCCTCCTTCCCTGGCACCCGCTTCCTTGTATGTTGGGCACATGTCTTTTCCCCCATGAGCACTTCTTATTGAGGCCCAGGGTCTTATTCATCTCTGAACACCCCCAGCCACAGACAAAGTGCACTTAGTATCCCCTCAGCAGACCTAAACACAGAGAAATGGGCTCTACGGACATCTACTGGGCACTGGCTATGACAATTCAAACGTGATGATGTGGGAGAGATTTTTCCGAAAAATGCCAAATATGACGCAATGGCAAAATGTCAAGGTATGAATTAGGTTATTGTTTGGTAATGCTGAGGTCCACGTCCAGATTACCCATCCTAAGTCCGCTGGTGGACCTAACTCTAAGCCTTTAAAATGAGCAACAAAAGCTAGATTGTCAGGCATCAACCAACGCACACTCGATGCAGGCTGCACGTAATATCAAAGGTGTACTCGTGAATATAACTCTGCTCACAAACATGGTGTAAAACCACTCCCAAATGCTGTGGCCTCTTTGTTTCACCCCCTGTAAAATGCTGGCTACAAAGAGCAGATGGGCA